CTTGTCAAGCTCCGCTGCTAGTCACATGATCTCGCTAAGGGTTAAGCGAGCGCGCTAGCGCCTTGGCGCTGCGCAAGCTTTTCTCTCGCGAAAACTGTAATGCATACTAAAAATAAAGTAATTATGCACTAAGGTGCTTAGAGAATGTAACACCTGCAATAAAAATAACTTATAAAGGCATAAGGTTTATAGATACTTATAACTAATTAAAGCTTTAAAATAACTATAAATAATAATTATAATAGACTTTATTATAAAACTTCCCTTATTTAAAGAACTAGAACTAGAAAAAATGTGTAATATAATTATAGTAGCCCTTAATAAGACTACTAAGTACTTATATATTTAGCTATTAGAGAAAATAATAACAGCTAAAAAGTTTATCTATAAACTTAAATAAAATGTTATATTAGTATATAGTTATTTTAAAATTATTATCTTTAACTAGGATAAACTGTTTATAAGTAGATTTTAGAAAGTAGCTATGCAACACTTTAGTATAGCATATAAACTGTCTACAGCATACTACTTATAGACAGACAGCTAAACTAAGAGAGTAAATGCTAAAGTAGAAAAGTACTTAAAAAATATATCTTTTATACTTAGAATAATTAAGCAGATTAGCTTTTTATAGCACAGCTAGCTATTAACATAGTAGAATTAGTAATAATAAAGAAAACACTATATAAAGCTAATTTTAGTTATAACTTGTACTTTATATTATAAGAAAACTAGCCTACAGACTTTTAAAAGTTAATAGACTAGTTATTAAATTTATAAAGTATATATAAAAAGTTAGTAATTAAAGCTAAATTTAGTTAAGAAATAATAGAATAATATGTAAATAAATTATAATAACTAGGACTAAAAATCTACTTAGAAGACTATATATACTTTAACACTAAGAACCTTAAGATATCTAAACCCTCTAGAAAGCTAGTAAAAAAAAGGATAAAACTATATAAAGTCCTATAGACCTAATAAAATAACTATAAGCTTAAGCTTCCTCTGTATATAAAGATATAACGTACTTCATAGGCGAGTTGCTCACACACCTAAGTTACTTACTTTTACTAAGACCCTACCACACTACTTTTCCTACACTAATGTATTTCTAATAACACTACTTAAACATGTTAAAGAAACGTTAGATACAGCTTACACTTTAGGCTTTTAAATAAAACATAACACTTTCTAACTAACACGCTGCAGCTATTTATAAAGTCTTTTAAAAGATAATAAGCAACTAACGCGCTACACAACTTTTTTAAGCTAATTATATAGCTAACTTATAAAAGCTAGATAATAATAAGAAGCAGGTAATTATTTAGCACATACTTAAGCTAGATGCGTGAGGATTTCCCCCCTAGCTAGTAGCTGTAGCTAATATAGCTAATTCTTTACACACTAAGCGTAATATAAGCTATGTTAGTATAAACTAGCTTAATATATTTATTAAGCGTTACTTAAAGCTTAAAGTAAAGTTTAAGCATAAGTATAACTATAAAAAAGCTTTTTATAAAGATCCTATAGTAATTTAAGGCTAGTTTAACTTTATAGAGAATATTAAAGCTAAGTATAGCATCTAGAATAATAACATGTACAACTTTAACAAAACAGAGTTTATAATAGGCTAGATATCTACTAGAGCAGTTGTTATAGGTTTAGAGAGATAAGGACAGCTAAAAGCAGTCTAGCTAGGTAACTAGAAGTAGACAACAGCTATCTAGGGCATTAATGCTAAAAGGTGGGCTATTTTGCTCTTTATTATCTTTTAGGGTAGCAACTACCTTTTAAACTAGTATAAAAAGAAAAATCTACTTAAGAATTAAGTTATTGCAATCTCTAAGCGCAGCTAGACTACTAATTAGCTTAGTCTAGACTAGTTAAAGCACTTTAACGCGCATATAAAGAAGTGTACTGTTAGCAGCTACTATCTGCTAGTTATTAACAGCTATAAAGGCTATAACTTACTTTATTTCTAGTAATACTATAAAGATAATAAGATTATTACTATCTACATCCCTTTTTACTTATTACACCTTCTATAGCTACTTAATGTAGGTTGTTTTACTTCTTTAAAGAAGGTATATAAGT